GATCTGTTGTTGTGGAATGTTCTGCCACTCCTCAATCACGGATTGTTTTAATTCATCTATGGTGGTTGGAGCTGGTATGCGGCTTCGAATACGTCTTTTTAAATTGTCCCATATGTGTTCAATAGGATTTAAATCTGGGCTCCGGGAGGGCCATGATAATTTTCGAATGCCCACGGTATCCAGGTACGCGGTAACAACTCTAGCAACGTGGGGGCGAGCGTTGTCCTGCATTAATAAAAAATCTTCGCTAATAAATGGAGCAAATGGCATTACATGAGGTTCCAATACTTCTGTTACATACCTCTGAGAATTTATTCCACCTCTTTCGAAGATAACCAAGTCGGTGCGTGCTTCGTAAGTAATGCCGCCCCATATCATGATAGAGCCACCTTGGTAACCTACTGTTTCCACAACAGTACATGGTGCAAACCTTTCATTCTTGCGTCTGTATACACGCTGCCGACCGTCAGGACCGTGCAAGCATATTCTTGTCTCGTCAGTAAACATAACATTCTTTCATGTTTCCATATTCCATTCGGCGTGCTCTCGGGAAAAACGAAGTCTTTCTCTCCGGTGGCCTACGAGCAATTGTGACACTCGAGATGGTTGAAAAGCTCCAAGGGCATTCTCTCCTATCTTCTTCTCACTGTTCTTTCACTCACTTGAACATTGCGAACCTCACGAAGTTGGTTTCGTGCCTCAACAGCTGTAGTGAACCGATTTCTTAGAACATTGTTCACAAGAAATCGGTCGTCACGAGCGGAGGTGCATCTTTTTCGGTCTTCACTCATAAGAGCCAGTTTCCCGAAACCGTTTCACTGCATCCCTTAAGGTGGTACGTGCGACACCAAGCTTTCGCGCCACGTAACGCTGACTAAACCCTTCGTCAATAAGAGCGACGGCTCTCGCTACTGAATTAGCATCAAATGGCATGTTTGTGATGTCCAAACACTAGCTTTAAGTTACGAAACCAAAACAAACTCAAATTGTTTACTTTTAATGCCACTGTAGCAATGTAAGCAGTATGGCAACGATAACGATAATGAGACGAAGTTCGATATTTGTCCTATTCACAACTTATGCGTAAAAAAACAAAGTTAAGTGGGTAGCTTGTAATTTTTTCGTCACTACATTTCTTTTACACTTGACTTATTTATGCCTAGTAACTTACAACTGCGATAACATCAAAATTTGCCACTTTAAAAGGGTGGGCGTTTAATTGTGCCGCTAAGTGTATTTCGAAAATTATTCAAGTTTACCCTATTAAGCTAGGCCTACGTATCCTTCAGCTTAGTTACTGCTGCTACTCACGCCTAATGAGCCTATTGTTTTAAATTATCGCAATAATAAAACTACAAATAGCTTTCTGTTGCACTAGCCTCGTCTAGTACCCTATACAGCTGAACCCATTCTCACATTATATATAATCATTCTTGTATAGCTCCCTGTTTACTTTGTTTTTCCTGCAAGAAACTTAGTCGCATTTTAAAAACAATTCCAGTGCGGTGCGGAACAAGTATCGATTGCACCGACTGCACGTCGTGACGGGAGCACGTGGCTGCGTGACTTCAGCTTAAATATACGCGCTGCGTCAGCGCATGAATTGTAGCTGGGAACCGGTTTGCTATCTCTGCAGCTGGTACACAAAGCGTGTTACGTATTGTCTTGATTTGTTATTTCATTGGAAGTTATATTTAAGGACGTGTAACTTGATTTAAAAATGATAAAGATACACTCGTTAAATTAGAAAAGATATCAGATCTCGAGATTGCCAAACTTTCATGAAATCATTCAAGTTTGAAACATTATTTGTTGAGTTCGATGAGTTTCAAGCTGCTGAATTAAATAATAGGGATGCAATTGAACAAAATTTCTGCGATTGATTGCACTAGCTCAAAGCTTAATTCAAAAACACAACAGCAATTATAATGATGATAATGTAACGCTCCCCCCTCTCTATATATAATGTAATAAATATATTAAATATAATTAATTTACCCCTTTTCAATAAAATTATATATTTGTGACCAGGAGAAATAAAATATGTTATTATCTTTCTAAATGATCTTTCTAAAAGTTTAATAATAGGCCATTTGTAATATTTTGGCGTGATCGCCTTAGTCTTTTTAGGTGTCTTTTGGAAGAATAAACACTCACTAGAGCAATTGAAAGCTTTTGGAGCGCCTCATAAGCCAAGCGAACCCCGTTCACGAAGACAGGGCTCGAGAAAGGCTAAGAATATAAAACGTCCCTATTCCACTTGTATCAGGTCTGTATGTGATCAACAGTAACGTAAGTAGTCACGTGGTAACGACCGCGTTTTCGACAAAAGATGAGGTAAGTCACCGGGACATGACGGTCTTGGTATTAAGCACCTGCAGTACGCCGGGCCACATGTCGCAAAGGTATTGGCTATGTTTTATTCGCTGTGCGTAGGCCATTCTTACTTACCAGCCGATTTTATGAAGACAGTTGTGGTGCCTGTAGTGAAAAATAAAACTGACAAAAGTAACTACAGGCCAATCTCCCTTGCCACTGTCATAGCAAAGGTGTTTGACGGGTTGCTTAATGCACAGTTAAATAAACACGTAAAGCTGAATGATAACCAGTTCGGGTTTCGACCGCAGCTGTCGACTGAAAGCGCAATACTGTGTTTTAAGCATACCGTTAAATACTACACAAACCGCAAGACGCCTGTATATGCCTGCTTCTTCGACTTATCAAGGGCTTTTGATTTAGTCCGATACGACCGTTTATGGCATAAGCTGAGAAGCATAAACTTATCTGAGGAACTAACTAGCGTGTTCCAGTATTGGTATTCACACCAATCTAACAGCGTACATTGGGCGGGAGCAGTGTCGGATCCGTATTGGCTCGAATGTGGAGTCAGGCAGGGCGGATTAACATCTCCGACACTTTTTTCATTTGTATATGAATGATTTGATCATCGCTCTCAGCAGCCAGCGCGACGGCTGTCATATCGACGGCGTATGTGTTAATAATCTGAGTTACGCTGACGACATGGTTTTGCTGAGTGCGTCGATCTGTGGCTTAAGAAAACTGATACGCATTTGTGAAGAGTATGCGAATGGACACGGTCTAAAGTACAATGTGAAGAAAAGTCAATGCATGGTCTTCAAGGCAGGTACCAAGTGTCCCCATGGTTTACCTCCAGTCTTACTGAATAGGGTGCCGCTAAAAGTTGACAACCAATTTAAGTACCTGGGACACATAATAACTAATGACCTCAAGGACAATGCGGACATTGAGCGGGAGCGGAGAGCGTTGTCCATCAGAGCAAACATGATAGCCTGCAGATTTGCGCGTTGCTCACAGGAGGTAAAAATTACACTGTTTAGAGCTTATTATACGTCACTCTATTCATCGAGCCTGTGGGCAGACTAATAAACGAAGTTACAACGATCTCCGCGTCCTGTACAATAACGCTTTCAGGGTGGTTTTGGGGCTGCCCCGCTTCTGCAGTGCCTCTGGCATGTTTGCGGAGGCGCGCACTGCCTGTTTTCACGCGACCATGCGTAAGCAGTGCGCGTCACTGGTGCGCAAAGTGCGGGCCAGCTCCAATATTATTCTGAAAATGATAAGGAGACAGATTGGACTGTCCTATCCTCCGGCGTTGCTGTAACAAACATGTCCCAGTAATTGTGGGAGTGAGAAGATACTAAATAATAATTATGTGTTAGTTATTATTGTGTTTATATGTTATGTTATGTACCTATGTTAGTTATTGTATTTTCATGACATATTATTATTATTTATTATCAATTAATTAATGTTTTTAAATCAATCAATTTTAATGATATGGATCTTATGTTATCTGAAATAAATTAATAAATAAAAAAATAAAATAAAAAAAATTGCTTCAACAAACCCGCTTACCACCGGCACTAAGATGATATGTCTAGGACACATTGGTTAGCGAGCCCAAGTTTACCTCGGACCAATTGCTCGTGAAGCAGCATACACGCCGCCATAATATTCTATTTCAAGTCCCTAATAAGGACTAGTCATTTTGCTACAGTACTAACAGCAGTCGGTCACCCGACCACCGCATATAATGCTTATGCATCAAGGAGACCTTCTATAATAATGCTTTTGTATCATAGACCTTACTTTCATAAGTCATTAATATATAGGACTTCAACCCACGATTCCACTACTGTAATGCTATTTCATCATAGAGATCTTCTATAGCAATGCTTTTGTATCATAGAGCTTACTTTCATAAGTCATTCATATATAGGACTCGAACCCACGACCCCACTATTGTAATGCACATTCATCTTAGAGACCTTCTATAGTATTGCTTTTGTATCATAGACTACTTTCATAAGTCATTAATAAATATATAGGACTTCAATCCACCATCCCACTATTGTAATGCAAATTCGTCATAGAGACCTTCTATAGTATTGCTTTTGTATCATTGAGTTTATTATCATAAGTCCCTAATATAGGACTAGTCATTGTGCTACAGTACTTCAAGCAGTCGGGCTCCCGACCACCCCATATATATGTACAACTGCAGGTATGTATCTCCGGCAGCTCCTCCATACAAGACATCTATACATGAACACCTTCCATAACTTAAGGAAAAATTTTCTTTTATACATGAACTCCTAAGACTTAGATAATTTTTAACCAATTTTCTAATTATAAGGTAAATGTTATTTATCTTTATTTTAATAATATTTTCGACTTCTATTTCTATTATTTATCATATTATTAAATATTTTTACAAGTTTTTAAATAAATTTATTTATTATGAAAGACAATATTTTACCTTAAATTTACTATAATATTTGTCTAATGTCTGAAATGTATTTATCTTAACTTTATGCTTAATAATGTAATTTTATTGTTTAATATATTTATTTTAAGACTATTTTTGATGCCCCTTTATATTGAATTTAATTATTAATAATAATATTAGGCCGTCACAATAACAAATTGAACTCATCATGCAAGTCAATTTGTAATAATCACAATAGTAAGTCAAACGTTCTAGGTTTTAAGTTGCCGACTATAACTATCCCTAAACTTGACGGAATGTATTTTAAATGGTTAGAGTTCAAAGAAACATTGTTAATGTCACGGCCCCTACCGCCTTGCCGCACCGCTGTTTCCTGGAGCTTCCTCTGCTCCCTCTTGATTCTTGCTGCGTTCCCTGCGACCTCTTGCTGCTCCGGGCTCGCTGTGGCCTCCCAATCGGCTCGAAGAACCATGTTTGAGCATGGACATGCTCACGGTCGCCTGGGATCCACCCTGGTGGACGGCGGATCCCAGGAGTGAAGGTGTGGAGATGAAATGAGACTACAATATTTATAGTATATTGTCCAACCACACCTTATTCCTGGATCCGTGGAAAGACAATCAAATTCAACAACTTACGGCCTTTTAGCAAATAAAGTTAGTCAAATCATATCGCGATACAATCGCCGTACAACGCCATCTGTCATCGATGATGCTAACTATTGCAACACTATCGCAACATAATTGCAGCACAACGGCCTCTGTTTATCGATGCCTAAATTACGCTGAACACTATTGATAACATAAATAAAAACATGCGGGCTCTCAGCACACTCGGTCTTCCTACTGACCAGTAGGATGTTTTAATTATTTACATTGTGTCAACAAAACTAGGAAATTCTTCAGAATATGAAGTGGAAGGAGCACAAAAATAATTTAAAGAGTGACATACCTACACTCGAAAACTTCTCTAACTTTCTTAAAAGTAACGCTGATGTTCTCGAGACTGTTCCCCGCCATAAACAAGAAAAGGATTAAACAAAACATACTTTGCCTCAAAGGCCTATTACCTCTAAATCCTTAGTAGCCACAAATGCATCAAAGTAAGTAGCAAATGCATCAAGAAGTAAGAATTGATGACACTAAACTAAAACTGAGTACATAGCAGTGTGTTCTCCGTCTACAATCCCAAACTGGCCCTTATCATGCAACTTTCTCTTTTTTTGTCCTACCTACTATATGACAGTCAATCTACCCAAGTCATCTTTCATAAGTAAACTAGATATATCCCAATTTGAGCTAGCAGATCTTAGTTTTAATGTATCGTCCCCAATCGAAATGCTTATTGGTGCCGATCTATTTTGGACATTGTTGGTTCCCAACAGAACAACCTAGGAACTAAATATCCTAGGCTACAGAGCTCTACCCTAGGTTGGCTTGTTGCCTACCTAACATACCTAAAAATAAACCTAAGTCTAATTCAACTTTTGTAATTTTCTTATTAAAGAGGAAAACCTCAACAGCTTAAATGATGAGCTGACTAGATTTTGAGAGCTTGAAAGCTTTCCAAACACAACTGTTCCTTTAACAAAGGAACAAAAACTAAACTTCTAACACTATTCGCATGAGTGATGGTTGATTTTGTGTAGGGCTTCCTCTTCGTGAAGATCCCAATTGTTTGGGTGACTTACAATATGGCTTAGAAAACACTTTTAAATCTAGAGTCGCGTTTTAGAAAGCAACCCGAACTTAAGGCGTTATATGTCAAATTCATAAATGAATACGAAGCCTTAGGGCACCTAAGTGAATAGTTGGCAAATTAAATAGGCAATACATTTTATGTACTCTCAAATCACGCCATATGTAATGAGCTAAGTGAATCAACTAAGTTGTAAAATAACAAAATGTTATTAATGTATATTTATTTGCTTTAGATATAATTGTATCTAATGTGTTCACCTTGAAGTGTAAGTGATCTTTCAATGGAGTCATTCATTCTTACCCTTAAAAGATTTATTGCTCAACAACAATTATTATTATTCAACAACAAATATTAATCTATAATTATAGGCAAACCTAAAACTATATGGTGTGACAATGGTAAAAAATTTGTTGCCGCTTGTAAAGAAATAAATTCTTTTTTAGAGTCCAATTCCGATTCTATAATTGAGACTGCAGCTAGTGAAGGATTCCGTTTTTCTCCGATCCATTTTTTCACTTTGGCTGGGGTTAAATCGGCCAAATTTCATCAGCACAGAGTACTAAAAAACAAACGCATGACCTTTGAGGAAATAAGCTCAATATTCTCTCAAATTTGAAGCCATCTTCAATAGTCGTCCCCTCTGTCCCCTAAGCCCTTCACCCAATGATTTTCCCCTCTTACCCCGGGCCACTTTTTAATAGGCAGGCCACTCACTGCAATAGCATTGCATGTCTATTTGACCACAATCCCAACCGTATCAACAAGTTTCAGCACCTAGAGAAAGCACGACAACACTTCTCGCGTCGGTGGTCTGCAGAATACATCGGCAAGTTGCAGCAGCGGACGAAGTGGCGTGCGATACAGGAACTTAAAAGAAGATGATGTCGTCATCATTAAAGACGACGGCCTGCCGCCTCTGCGCTGGAAACTTGTAAGGGTAGCCAAGTTGTAACCGAATTCAGACGATATTCCACGGGTCGCTGACATCACCACGAGCGGTGATACTATTCGACGAGCGATCTACAAGCTGTGCTTGTTACCTAAACCAGATGCCACAGACTAAGATTCTTGAAAGCTGGAGCTTTCAACCTGTGGGAGTGTTTATGACAACCGCCATCCACAACAGCCAGTATGATGTCTATGACAGTTTTTAATCTTTGGACCGGATTGGCCAATCACCGTGCGCCACGTCCCTCGAGTCGATGGGTATATAAGACGCGCCGCTTATTTGGAAGGCCCATTTTTCTTTTCTTCTCCTTCCCTATTTTACCTACTAATGTCACGACGACGAATGTGTGTGATGTCCCTGTTTTTACCAACTAACGTCATGATCTACTATATTTAACTAATGTTTTATCGGTTAAATAATAGCTTGAAGACGATTTTGATACGTAATGCACGGGTAGCGATTTTTGCTTGTAAGTTAGCAAGATAGTTACACTGGCTTCATATTATACAGAATTATCTTTATTTCTGGGCAAGTAAGTTACTATCTAAAGCCAGGATGGTTTTACAGAATGGGGTTCTACTTTTGAGCTAGTAACTCCACCATTTGTTTACTATTCTGACTTGAGTACTTCGTGTAATGAATATTATATTTAACGCCGCACTCGTGGTTGGAAATTATCATAATAAATAAACAATATGTCGTGAAATATTTTTATTTCATACCCATCCCGGCTTATCATGGGTGATTTCTGGATTTTGGCACGAAAATACATACACACACACACACACACATATATATATATATATATATATATGTAAGGTCTCCTTGATGCATAAGCATTGTATGGGGTGGTCGGGTGACCGACTGCTCCTAGTACTGTAGCAAAATGACTAGTCCTTATTAGGGACTTCAAACGAAATATTATGGTGGCGTGTGTGCTGCTTCACGTGCAATTGGTCTGAGGTAAACTTGGACTCGCTAACCGATGTGTCCTAGACATATCTTTTATTTATTTTATTTATTTATTTATTATCACACACAACAGATTACAACTATTACTAAACAAATTATACAAAAACAATCATTTATAAACTAGGTTGCATTCCACAAAAATGTGTGTACATGAAAAATTACAAGGGAGTTAAATATGTCTACACAATTTAAGGTTTAACAAGAACAGTAATCTAAATAATAGGTACAATGAACAATACTAAATAAGAATATAATAGGGTTAAAATATAAGGAGACCGAGAGTCCAAGCGCTGGGATTAGACTGTCGGCTTGTGATACAGTATGCTTTTAATCAAATTAATATAAAGAGTTAGTTTAGGTAGAAAAACGTCAAAGGTTTGGTTACCCTTGGCTATTTCATTGCACTGACGAGCCATCCTAACCAGGGGGTTGTAAAAGGAGGTATTATTCTGATACACTTGTAAAGTAAAAAGTGCTATTTGATTTGCTCTACGAGCACTATATTTAATATTAAAAGTTATTTCAGCGAGCAAGGTAGGAACGTCTAATATGGAGTGAAGTATTTTATAAAAGTAAACGAAATCAAAATATCTTCGACGTGTTTCCAATTTTTGTACATTAAAATTAATGAGACGAGCTTCATAATCAGGAGTTTTGCGCCTCGACTGTTGGCGGTAGCTTAAAATCCGTAGGCATTTGCGCTGCACTCTCTCTATATTTTCAATATGAACTTTGTAGTGCGGAGACCATATTGGACTACCGTATTCCAAAACGCTTCTGACGAGTGTAGTGAAAAGGTAAAGAAAAGAATGAGTGCCCTTGAAGTCTTTAGTAGATCTAAAAATAAACCCCAGAAGTTGATTCGCTTTTTTCACTATGTGGTGGTAGTGTTCGCGAAATGTCAGCTTATCATCAAAAAGGATTCCGAGATCTTTGACAACATGTGACCTCTCAAGGGTCTGGCCGTTGATGCTGTACTCATTAACGATCCCATTACGCTTGTTAGTGAACGTAATAACGAAACACTTGTCTATATTAAGGTACATTAGATTATTTCTGCACCAGTGAGAAACAGCAGTTAAGTCTTTCTGTAAAAGATTACAGTCTTCGAAAGAGTTTATTGTTTTAAATATTTTCAGGTCGTCAGCGTATAATAGACATTCACATGATATGTTCTTAATGAGGTCATTAATGAAGACAACAAATAACAACTTAGCGCATAGCGATATCATCTCAGCGCATAGCGATGCGTCGTCTATCTTTCGGATTGGGATGATGAGTGTGTTTGGTAGCACTTTTAAGTGTAACAGGCATACTCAACTTCATGTCTTAGTGCATTAGCGCTGGTGGAGTTTTGTTCATTGGCGTCTTAGTAGCGTGCTACTATGATACGTTGGTGATATTTTTTATATAACAACAATACAAACTTTGTTACCAAAGTCGATAGGAATCATGTGGGTGTGTTGTGAGGGGGGCGCCATCCGTATGATAGTTGCATTGATGCTTACTGCTACTTGCGGTATTACGTCCTGTGATGGATCTGCGGGTGTGCTGCGCCTGATTCGACGCACTCTTGTGGTTCTGGTCGATGGAGGTATGCGGATGGTGATGTCTGCTGGGATGTATGGGGGACCTTGGGATGGTGTAAGCCCGACGATAGTCGTATTGATGCTTGTTGCGTTCTGCAGCATTGCGTCTCTGCGATGGTTGTTTGGTGGGACGCTATTCTCAATGGCGCTCTCTGCGTCTTGGTTTGACTCACGCCTGAGTAGCTTTGCCCAAGTCGGGTCCCTTCATTACGGGGCTGCAGACTGTCTGCCCACCCCGATGTTTTATATAACAACATAATAATATATCTCTGTAACTTTCCCACCTTTGAATGATTGAAGACAACTTGTTGGTGGGTGAGACAAACATGATCGAAAATGCATTTACTCAACGTCAGTGACACAAACCCTTTCTGATGGCGAATTATTACTCTTATCTTATAACTGCCTTTTGGCTATATCTGCCGTTGTATTGGTTGGTGGAGCATATGTGTCGACCTCATGCTGGTGGTAGCTGGCGGGAGGATCTGAGGAGACTCTCAAGACTGCGGCCAAAATTCGCACAAAGTGGGACCCCATTCCCTTGAGGTGGGCGGTAGACTCATGACACGCTCTGCGGCTAGTAGCCGTGCTGATCATGCAATTGGTGGTGATGCCATACACTTACATCACGTCTGCAGGAGCGGCGGTCTGGCAGGTGGTGGCGCTCACGGAGGGTTTACGGCCAGTGTGCCTATTTGCCTAAACCGTGTGACGTACATTCACTGTTTGTATCGATGTTTGTGCTTACGCACTAACAAGGGGCCAAGCCTCTTTTACTGGTTCGCCAGTTATTTTGCAGTGGACTACGGTCCAGTTCCCGAATTAACATTCCCTTCGGGGGGAGTGCATCACAAATGTTGGCGCTCACCGCGCACGGCGTGTGTGGAGCCGTGTGTCTCCCCTACATTTTTTTAAATAAATGTAGGAGAGCGAAGCCCTTGTATCGGGTATTTGGTATAAATATATTTTGAGCCTTTTCCGAGCGGAAAGGGATAAATAATAACAAATTAATAATGTAAACCTGATACAAGTGGAATAGGGACGTTTTATGTTCTTAACCTTTCTCGAGCCCTGTCTTCGTGAACGGGGTTCACTTAGCTTATAAGACACTACCAACAGCTTTCAATTGCTCTAGTGAATATTCATTCTTCCAAAAGACACCTAAAAGAACTAAGTTACTAAACAAACACAACGTAAATAGCGGTCCTAACAAAGACGGTCACGCGAAAATGTTACAAACCGTCGTTGCGCGTGCATTTTTCGCTATGTGTTTTTACCCTACTTTTCAGGAGAGACAAAAAACTGATTATATCAAGTTGTGTGTGAGTCATTATAATACTTTTTTTGTATGGCAATAGTAATAGCACAATTTACATATTTTAACGTTTCTATCTTTGTCAAATACCTTATTAAAAAGCTAGAAAAAAAAGAATTCGATTATTTCTACACATAGCGTTTATAATTAGAGTCATAAATATCCGCTAACTGTCCACAGAGCACATAGCGGCAAATGGAAGTCGTATCGCCTGCTATATATGTGCTGTTTTTTTCACATAGCTATTATATAAAACACCTTTTTTTATCAAAATAATATTTATTTAGAAAATTGTCAGACACATATTAAGAAATGACACAATAAACAAATATACGCTGTAGCAAAATTAAATATATATATATATATGAAATGTTGTAAAATAAGTATTGTTTTATAAAGTAGTTAGGTAATGAATGAAAAATAAATTTCAAAAATGTGTTAGGTAAATTAATGACTTAAATTATCATAAAAAAATTATAGTCACGATGCATGTACTGCTTCAGACCTTGTAGATGATTATATTTGGTTACATCTATGTTGATGGGGCTGTTATATAATCATGCAGGTGCTACTGGTTCTCTACTATTAATTCTCCTCTGTGGTAAAGCTTCCCATTCATCTGAATGGCGTACTTTATATTGCACTTCACCATTGACGTAAAGAAGTCCTCTGATATCATTAACAGTGGCATCACCAGTCCTTCTGCCTGGTCTTATTGTGGTAAAATTGCCAGGCACTTCTTCATAGTTTTTAAAGAAATTGAAATCTAGATAATGAACAACGTAGGGCTGCGAGGGCCTACATTGTCTCATCCTGGACACTATATATAATCCATTGGTGTAAAAATTGGTGCCTTAAACTTTTTTTCCAGAGTGGAATGGACGCTGTCCACTTCCATCATTGTATGCCCTTTCTCTACTATAATTTGCTTAACGGTAAGCTCTTTCACAGCACTTAAATTAGCTAGGGCACTGCATAAAACTTTATTTTTATTTTGATATGCACATCCGTCAGAAATAAGAATTACTTTCTTTTTGTTTCCACAATACTCTTCTAAAAAGTTAATGATGCAGCTCGCTATATTATTCACTGTTATTCCTCACTCTCCTTCATGCCAAACGTATAAATATACATTCTTAGTATTTTTTACATAAAACGTATAATTATGCAGAGCTAATTTCATTTTATAATATTGCTCAGAAACGTGAAGTTTAGGAGACAGCAGCACGCTTTGCATATCCATTGATACAACCACAACATCGTCGGACATTTCCTGAATAGCATTAGACTTAGCAGAGTAGGCTTCCTCTTTCTTCGTGATGTGTAGTGTATACATAGCTTCAGGAATGTTTCCCTCTTTGTGCCCAACAAACAGATGGCATTGATCTTTCCGTGCTTTAAAAATTGAAATTTTATTATCTTTTAAAATTTCCTGAATTCTACTGCAGAATAGTTGTTCTCTTGGCACCACGCTGTGTAGACTGTATGCATGTGTGTCATTGACTCGAAAGACGCTTCCACATAAACACGACTAGTGTTGCTTCAGCAGTAATGACTGGGTACCTTTGTATTATTTCAAGCCATTTCATAACTGACTCAGACCTAAGAACCCTGGTACCAGCCCGATTAGAAATATCAGCAGCTACTCTTCTGACTATGTTAATCGCTCCACTATTTGTTACATCAATGTCGAACTTCGACCTTATCCACAACTGTAGAACATCTTCTTTTAAGTCTAATGTGGCTAAAAATAACTGCTTGCAAACACGTAGTTTAATACCGTTAAGCCCCGGTAAATAGCAATCAAACCCGCAATTCTTTTTATTAACATCAGGCGGGACATTTCTACGGCGAACAATCTGCCTTGGTTGGATAAGGCCGTTTACGTAGGCTTTCTTAGCATCCCATGTAGGGAGTTGCCAAAAATAATGAAATACATCTGCGCGCATATTATCGTATATTGCAGCGCAGGCAAAACTTCTTTCGGAAATTTTAGCCGCTCCATGTTCACAAGGCTTTTCTCTCATTTTTCTATTCGGTTTCGTAACTTCTTGTATTCTAATTTTATCTTCTTCTCTAAAAACTTGTTGCCCTGTATAAGTCATGCCTAAAAGCCTTAATTTTTGATCCTTCTTTCTTTTTTGTTCTCACTAAGAGCCACTTCTTCCTCATTTTGTGGGATGGAAGTGCAAATATTTTCTTTTTCAAAGAGCGGTTCAAAATATCCAGTTTGTTCATTCAACTGCAGCATAACGTTAGCAGGAACTGGTGTGTTAGTAATGTTTGCCTCGTTATCATTTTGTATTTCTAAGCAGGAATCAGATGTTATGCTGATATTAGCAGTAGTAGTAGTTATTAAACTCTGAGTTGTATCTGTAATCCCTGAAGCTAATTCCGCATTTGTAGTACAAATCATATTTGTAAGGTCGGTAAAAGTACTCATGCCAACGTCGGCGTGTTTACCTTCGTCAACAGCTGGAATAATTATCGATGGAGCTGGAGGTGGAGGTGATGGAAATAATATTGAAGATGATTCTTCTTCTAGCTCCATTGCTAAATGGTGTATCGATTGCTGTTGATCTTCTACGCATAACGATACAAGCTGTTTACTTCTCCAAAATCTTGGCATGTTCAGTTCCTAAAAAGCGGTAAAATATAAAGCGTTAGTAAGCAATAGCAAAATTAATATTAAGATATTTAGATGAACATTTCATTCATTCATTCAAATTCTTGTACCATAGTAAAGCATTACATTAAGATGTTAAGTCATACTTTAGTTAGGGAAATATTAGTTATTGTTCATAAAAAATGCTTTTTGAAAGCAATGTTTAAAAGATTGGTTTTCCTAAGATAAATAGTAAATTTATATTGGTTATGTAAGAATAGTAATACACATTTTTAATGAAAAATAGTTTAAACAGGAAAAACTTTCCAAATACGTCACCACAATCTTAGCAAACTAAAACCAAAAGCAACCCTAAGAGGAATATCTTAGTAAAAAAATGTAGGTACTTACTTGGTAGGTATATTTATATATTTGACGATCCCAAAGAGTTATTAAATTTACAATTATAGGTATAACTTGCACTAATTTTTCTGTGTGATTTGTTGAACAGTTCGAATGACACTGACTAACTTAATATCTCAGTTATGTGACGCTCGACGAGCTATTTACACGACTGAACTGGTCCGAACTTGTCAGGAAAAATATCGCTATGTGCGGGGAATCACATATCGGGCGCAATTAATAAGTCTACTACTACGATAAACTTTTAGCTATGTGATTTAAAGCACATATTGATATTAGACGCGCATTGAATGTATGAACCTCACATGGCTATTTTTCGTAACTTTGTATACGTGAATCTTACACAAAAATCTGTTTTTGTAGCCTATGAGTATTGAACTAAAGATCAGAATGGCATCAAAAACAAAAAAATGAAAAAAAAACACACACAGCGATTTCTGCACGCGCAGCGATGAAACGGCCTATTATTAAACCTTTAGAAAGATCATTTAGAAAGATCAAAACATATTTTATTAATCCTGGTCACATATATATAACTGTAATATAAAGGGGAATATAATATATTTAGTATTTAATATTATAATATTTATTATTATGAGAGGGGGGAAGCGTTACAGTATCTTAACGTAAATGTTATTTGATTAAAACTACTTTTACGGATTTTATCGCGTTTATTTTTGCTTTTAATTACTTTTATTTTTTAATTTCCGACGTTTCGGGCGCTTCCCAGCACCCATGGTCACGGGGGACTGACCAGTTTTAATCATGTGTAGTGTTCGCGTAAATATAAGAAATCATTATGTAAATGTTATTATGATAATGCATAAACATTTAAAAAATGTGATATTTTTTTACATGTAAAGCATGGAGAATCAGCTTGCTGAACTTCTGCAAAAACCTGAATTGAATGAATTTCAGAACTTTATACGAATGTCTGATAAAGATTTCAAATATTCAAAAAATCTCTACAGCAATCAGCAAAAAGGACACAGACTTTGGAGAGAGCATACCAGCAAAAAATCGACTTGCAGTGACATTGCAATATTTAGCAACTAGTGACAGTTTCAGAAGCTTACATCATACATTTAAAATATCCAGTCAATTAGTGTTCGAAATAATTCCTGAACTTTGTCGAGCACTCATTGAAGTTTTGAAGGACATGGTTAAGGTAAAATTAAATAACAACACTCATATTTTCAAATTTATTAAAAAATTCTGCGAAGACAAACTTATTATGCTATTGATAAACACATCTCTTATCAGTAATATTTAACAAAATAAATCTCCCCATATTCTGCTACTTTTCTGTGTTAGAATATAAAACTATCAATATCCTTTATTCCTATCTTATAACTATCAAATCCCTTATTTTTGCATTCATTAATTATTTGCATTTTTATGTAACATAATATCTTGGATGAATCACTAAAAAATTCTTCCAAGGAAAAAAGAATGTGACTATTAAGTAGTTGAAATTATTAAAAAATCATAAAATATAACATAAACATAAACACTCACGCCTGTCACTCAGAGGGGTAGGCAGAGACTACAGACTTCCATTTAGCACGATCCTGACATACCTCTCTCGCCTCTTCCACATCCATATACCTACGCATACATGCTCGTCGGTTAAGGGTACTCCTAATTTGGCCCGTTTTCAATAAATCGCCAATTTGGTCGATAAATTTTCGCCTAGGACGTCCCTTTCCGACTCTGCCATTCACTTCTGCAACATAAATTTTCTTTGTCACTCTTTCCTCATTCATTCTTTCCACATGACCAAATCACCGAAGCATTCCTTTCTTAATCCTGGTCACAACATCATCTTGCAAACCACACTTCTCTTATTACACAATTTCTTACCCTGTCATTCAGATTCAGCCCTAACATACTCCTTAACGACCGCATTTCTTCTGCGTTCATTCTACTCTCGTGCTTCGTCTGCCGCACCCAACTTTCACTACCATACGTTAAAGTAGGGACCAACACAGCATTGTGAATTGCCATACGTGCCTTTTTCGACACATTTTGACTCTTCACAGTAGAGTGCAAGGCCCCATTTACTCTATATCCCGCATTCACTCGTTCTATATCCTTATCATATCTTCCATCCCTGCTAAATACGCAGCCCAAATATACAAACTCATCTACTTGCTCGATCAACTCCCCTTCTATTCTTATTTCACAAATCGTTTTACTTTCTTCTCTTTCAAAAACCATAACCTTCATCTTACTTGCGTTTACTTTCATTCCCCTTTCTTTTAATGATCTGCTCATTAATGTAACCATCATTTGCAACTCGGCCGCCGGCGACGCAAAAATAACCTGATCATCGGCGTACAAAAGGCATTTGACGGTTAACTCACCCATTCTTAATCCGCATTCTTCAACTTTCAAATTTTGCAAACAACTGTCCATAAATAGGTTGAACAGCCACGGAGAAGCCACACAGCCCTGTCTGACACCTTTATGGATGTCAAACCAGTCCGAGTAGGCCCCGTTGATCCTAACACAAGCACTAGAGTCACTATAAAGAGACTCCAATGCCTGTATCAAGACAGCGCTCAACCCAAATGAGTTCAGTGTTTGCCATAGCACATCCCTATCCACTCTGTCATAGGCCCTTTCCAAGTCCATAAACGCACAAAAAACCTTTTGGTTTTTGGCCAAAAACTTGTCCGCGATCATGCGCAAGGAAAAGACTTGATCTGTACATCCCATTCCCTTTCTAAATCCCGCTTGCACATCCCAAATTTTTCCATCAGTTTCTTTCATGACCCTTTCAATCAGTACCTTAGCATACAGTTTTCCCACAATGCTAAGAAGGCTAATGCCACGGTAGTTTTTACAGTCCTGCTGCGACCCTTGTCCTTTATGTACTGGGACTATCACGGCTTTGCACCAGTCTAGCGGTACCCGCTTCAGTTCCCAGCATAAATTAAACAAGGTGTGCAGCAGACCTGCCACCACTTCCTTTCCAGCCCTTAGCATTTCGAGTGAAACTCTATCATATCCGGCAGCCTTACCTGCTTTCATGCTTTTCATTGCTTTCATTATTTCATCTATACTTATCTCGCTACCTCTTTCCTCTTCTTTCGGAGTTTCTACTTCACTTAGTACACACGTTGTCTCCTCACACATAAACACGCTTTCAAAATATTCCTTCCATCTCTTTAAACTCAAAACTTCATCATTCATAATACAGCCATTCTCGTCTCTTATAGCATTCATCATAGGCTGTTTTGAATGTCCCCTGGCAGTTCTTACAAGTTTCCAGAACATTTTAATATTTGCCTGGAAGTTATCCGATATTCTTCTATCATTATTATCTGTTCTTTCTTGCTTTTTTCTTTCAATTACTTCTTTTACTCTCTTATTTAGATGTCTAAAGACTGCCTTTTTTCTTTCAGTATCATCATTCGTACCGCTAGAATTACCAGCCTTTGTTTCTAGTAAATCTAGCCATGCTCTCTTCTTTGCTTCAACTTCCATACATATCTCATCATCCCACCATAATGTATTATATTTCCTTTCATTCTTTCTCTTACTAACACCACATATTTCTGTAGCTGCATCCACTAAACCTTTCTTTACATTTTGCCATACATTCTCCAAGTCTAACTTTTTCATACATAATTCATCCAAACCACTTATATTTTCTTTCAGTCTACATTTGAGTTTGTTTTTCTCACCTTCATCTTGTAAACTTTCTGTTCTAATACGCTGTAACGCAGTGGTAGACACAGATGATCGATGGCGCCAACGCCTGTACAGACCATTAATTCGGCATAAAACCAAATAATGATCCGTTCCTACGTTAGAACCCCGGTAAACCCTTGTATCTACCACTGCGCCCCTCAATCTTTCATCCACAATTATGAAATCTATCATGCTTCTATCGTCACCTCTTTCCCAAGTATATATGTGAATCCTCTTGTGGCGAAAGCAAGTGTTCGTCACAAAAATATTCTTTTCCATACATACGGTGAGGAGACTTTCATCATTCTCATTTATACTTTCATCACCAAACGTTCCCAATATTCTTTCATAACCAAGCCCCCTCACCCCAACCCTTCCATTAAAGTCTCCTAGCATAATAATATTTTCATTTCCCTTACACTTCATTAACACCATCCTTACCATTTCCCAAAACTGCTCCCGGATATAAGTGGGCTTAGACAAGTCTGGGGCGTAGACCCTTTTTTTTTTTTTTTTTGCATGGGGAAATGCCTACGCATACTCGCCTCGCGGGGGCAAGGACGGGTTATGTCGGACTCGCACCGACTAAAACCCCATGGTGTTTCACCTTTGTCGCATATTGGCAGGGCTACGGGAACGCTTTCGCACACATCCGCGGCCCTACTAGCGCCTGCCGCCCCATGGCAGCACCTCCTCGGAAGAGGAAAATTCCTCCCCGTTCTCCTTCCCAGGTAAGGCGCACCAGAACACATGGCGCGCCTTCCTCCACGGCCTCCAACTACGTCTGTGCAACAGACGCCCCCGCGTCCGATGCACAAAGGCCATGGGGCCAGGAAAAACGAGCACTTAGAAGTACTAGCCTTCCCGACCCCAGCGGCGGATCTGGTCTATGGCTCCACCGC